CTCTCTCTCTCTCTCTCTCTCTCTCTCTCTCTCTCTCTCTCTCTCTCTCTCTCTCTCTCTCTCTCTCTCTGAAAAAGATAATTAAAGTTATATTATATTCGGACAGTAAATATACAACTAAAATAACAATTGATTTTATAATAAATTTTATTCCTTTAATTATTAAAATATTTTCTATAAATATATTTGTTAATTAATTAATTAATTCTTTCTCTGTCTCTTTTTCTCCATCTGTTTATATAATTATTTATGAATTAACTTGATTAAAGAGGTAAAGTTGTATCGGTCCATTAATATCAAAAAGCTTAATTGTTAATCTTAAATTACATATTATTTATTAATTACATTAAAATTATTTTGGATTAAATAAACATCAGTTTTTCAGTTTATAAATATATAATTACATAATTATGTGTTTCAATTGTAATTTTTGCTTTTGAAAAAGATGGATATGCGAAATATTTGAGAAAAGAGGAAACTTTTGTCTTTTTTACTTTTTTGCATCAACTGCCCATATTGGAAATGAATTGATGTGAAAGGTTTTCTAACTTCAGCAAATAATAAATCAAGTCGACGTTCAAACACGATATTGGATATTATTTTTTTCATACTAAAACTTTTTCATAAAGAAGTTTTTTCATCGCGATCTGTTTTTACTGTTATGACTTTTGCGCCTTACGCGTTATTATTTACCGAGATATATATTTCGAGATATTGCATTAATATAAGTCTCTCAAAAGCATTATTTTTCAAGCCAACGAACTACAATCCTTTTAAATAATATGAAATATTCTTACGCGCTTAAACAAATATCTAAAATGAATGTTACGAATTATAAATATATAAGATAAATTTATGTGCATTTATATACATATATAGGGCATTATATCTCATACGCGACACTTTCACGCGACATGTATTTCGGCATTGTAATACGTCAACTTAATTAACATTATCATAATCACTTCACGCGTGTCACGAGCAGCGTGATTTATTAATGAAATCGCGAATCCGCTATCTCGCTGGGTTAATCATCGTCCGAATGATCGCGTGACGTAACACAATTTTACGTTCTAGTTACGACGTAACTTCCTATTACGCGAAACTCTGACAGTGCCCCGGCAATGTCCATCAATTTAATACTCAACAGCGAGAGGGAGAAGGACACATTTGCATCGCGCGTGTCTAAGCATATGCTCGAGAGAGTGTTTAGAAGTTCGTCTGAAGTTCGCGAACGAAAGTTAACACTTATTAAAACAGCCCAACTTGGAAATTCTCCGGAGACTGCGTATGAGAGAGAAAGAGACTAAGCGGAGGAGAGAGAGAAAGAGAGAGAGGAGACACTGTCTGTTCATCGCGAGCGAAGACAGAAATCCTCGTTGCTTGCTGGTGGACACGACTTTCTCGTCACGGAATAGACGGGATATAATTAATCTAGGGGGTTGGACCGAGAATATGTCTTGAACGTATATTAAAGGATTAACCGGAGCCGAACGGAAACGTCTAGCTTTGAATGAAGCGGAAACGATACGGCCCATTGCAATTCAATCGACCGAATCGTCTCTCCGCCGTCGTTTGTTGCTGTTAGAATTTGCGAAAAGTGTTTGTCGCAAGAGCTGAAACTATCTAATTTTCTCCCATTGCAACATATTGCTATCCGAAAAATCCATAACGACAAAAAAATATTTCTTGTCTGTTCCGTATTTATACGTATCTGTTCCGTATTTTTTCGTCGCTGAAGGCTTCGAAAAAAGAAGTTTAAGCAACGGCTTCAAAGGTCCAAGAGTGTCTAAGTTTCTAAAAAACTCAAGGATCGCATTAGTTTGTAAGCTCTAGAGATCGAAGATTTTGAACTCAGAAGTGTTTCCCGATTAAAATTACGAAGATTCTAAAATTGAAGGAAAAAATATCGAGAAACTTAATCGATGTGCTATTTCAATTTGAAATGAATACTTAGATAATACTAATGAAATTAAGGATCGAAATCAAGTGACGCAACGCGACAAACATTTCAAATTAATATTTCATGTAAATCCTGCGTGAGAGTTATCTCGGATTTTCCCGTACATCTAATTTTCCCCAACCGATATACTCGTCCTAAATGAGATCACGTCCGAAAAGGAGTTTAAGTTCTCTCAAACCCGACCATGGAATCCGAATTTGAGCTTGTCTGAGCAGTGCATCCTTGGTTGAACATCCGGTGCAACGTTAACGTTACCAGCATTGTCATGGCTAAGGAAAGCAAAATAGAATAAGAAAAACACTATCAGAGAAGCAGTTAAGTTTAAATAGATACATTAACGAAATGTTCAAAAAGAAAAATATTTTACTCTCTTTTACATCACTAAAATTCCAGAATTTTCTTAAGTAATAATTTTGTTAAAATTTATTATATAATTTTTTTTAATTAAAACATGCTTGCTGTTGTCATTTGCATATTTTGTATTGCTAGAAAATATTACAATAATTTTAGTGAAATATGTTTTTAATGTTTTCCTCTTAAAAATATATATATATATATATATATATATATATATATATATATATATATATATATATATATATATATATATATATATATGTAAAATTATCGTGTGAAATTAAAGGGAGAGCAAAATATGTTGATGTTTTCGAGGTTCTATGCTAGTGCAATCGCAATTCAACTGAAATTCTAGACGAATGCGATGGCAGGACACTCTCGAAATAGCGATAAACATTCTCTAATTTAATTAGTAATTACGAAACGCTCGTTGCAATGCGCCAGACGCGATGGCACGATTATCGTACGTGGTGGTGTATTCCGTCTGGATAATTCGTCCTACGTGGCCGTTGATTGATCGTGTTACACAACGGATCCGATTGCAGAACAACGCATTACCGCATTACAGTTACGAGTTTAACTCTGATAAAATTTGCTCTGTAACCGAAATCTGTGCTCCAATTAAAAAAAATCGATACCGAGAGACAAGAAGGATCGGTGCTACTTTATGAAAACCAGAAAACAAAAACAAGTGGAAATTAATATTCGAATTACATTCGCTGTTATTACATTTATTCTTTCTCATCAAATCATTTAATGATAACAACTTTTATTCAAAAATATTAATTTAGATTATATTTTTTGATTGCGTGCTATTGATTATCATAATATACTGTATTCTTAATTTCTTTTACATAAAAATAATTACATTAAAAATTATAAAACAGATTGTTAATAAAAAAATGTAATTATTAATAATTTCATTATTATATAATTGAAAATAATTTCCATATTTTATATATATCCAGAAGTATTATTTCCAGAAGTATTATTTCTATTCAGGTAAAATCAATCGATACAGCCAATAAATAAATATATTTTAGCGAAAATTTGAGAAGAAATAAAAGTATATGTATAAAATCAACTGTTTCATTTTTAATAAGAAAACTGAGAAAGTCTATGTCAATACGTTCATGGGATTACTTTATTTCTTCATGGCTGAGAGGGTATATTTGCAACTATAAACAAGCTTCTAAACAAATTTACTCATGGTGGTAACCATCGTATGTATGCTCCGCATACCGCTCCGATAAAGGTTATCATCGATAAGACAAGTGGAAATTGTGTAGGGGCACCTATCCCATAAAAAGTTATGTGTCGTCATCACGTTGCTCGCTCGTAGAGCTTCGAGAAGAACAAATCGCCCTCCATAAACTCCGTCTTCCGCTTTTTCAATTTCGCGCTACTTCCCATGTTCGTCCCGACATCATAAAGGTTTTTCACGCGGACTTATTTAACTTTTCTTTTAAACCGATCACGAAAGAAAGACATGGTTGTCGCGCTGCGTACGACATTTTAATATTTGATTCTAGATATTTCCGCGACGAATATCGAATATGCGCGGAAATCCTTCTTTCACTTTTTACATTTCACATTTTCTTTCCGAGACAATTTAGACAATTTACCTCCTTACATCACACTTTTTTATCTCCCTCTTCCGCTTTCGTTCAAGTCAATTGCTTTGGTATAGAATTTTAATCCTTAAACGCCTTTTCGGATATGATATACCTGACTATTATCTTTCCAAGATTGATACTCCTTGAAATCTGAAGGATCTTCATATCTGACGTTTTGATAGAAAAAAGATTTGTTACAATGTATTATTTTCTATGAAAGTTATGAGCAATTAAAATTGAATCGGGTATGCTGTAAGCTGCCATACCCTCGTTCTCCTCGTATGGCGTTTAAGGGTTGAAATCGCGGTCTTTTGGCAACATCAGCTTGACACACAGTAATTTCTCGCAGGTTCAGGTTCAGGTTCCGGTTCTGGCAGCAGTGGCTGCGCCTCCAGCACCCTCGGTACTCTTCCGCTTAATCGTTGCTATTCGTCCCTACCCAGGGGTGCTCTAACGGCTTACGGCAGTTTAACGCGACCTGCCACCCTACCACGTCTTCCCCTAGGACTGGGCTTGGGTCCGGCTCCAAACACCGGCAACGGGCCCCTACCTCAAAACGATCGGGATCGAGATAGCAACGGAAGCAGCAAAAGAAACAGCGATAGCGTGCTCTGTCATCGGCTGCCTTTATTGCACCCTCTGCCCACGTGCGACGTCGCCAGTCATCAGGGCACCGGCTTCCATGAAATATTCAACGCTATCAGGTAATTTTCATTTTTAATATGCATGATGA